GGGTTTGGGGAGGGACGACCGGACTTAGCACGCGGTCTGAACCTGTATCTATGCATAAGGGCCGGGGCAGTGCACTGATGATGACGATGACGACAGCGGTCATTATCTTCATTAGGATGACGATGACGACGCCGACACCGCGGCCCGGACTGATTGCCAAACCCAAGCCCTAGTAGTAGGGTAGGTAACCTTNNCCCCATGATACCCGACAAGTAAGAAGCACTCCAAACTGAGCTTCACGACGATGACGCTTCACAGGCATTGGACCCTACCCGAAGCGCAAGCCTGCGCTCTCGCTTGGGCAGGTGGCTCTCAGTCACAGTGCACTGGTGCAGCCGCTGAGGCAGCAATCTTGAAGCCGTGGCCGGCAGATGCCTTGTTCAGCCTTAAAGCTAACTTTGTCCGAAAGCAATCAAAACGGAGTGTCCCCGTATATGCTTCTCTGTGATTTGTAGTAAGGTATACCCGCAAAGCTCTTCTCTAACCTCTCAATGCCACCATAATCTCGCAAAGGCACGAAGATGGGTTTCAAATCGTCCGTCCGATCTCACATCCGTTGACAACAACTTTCCCGCACTGGCGCAGAGGGTTGAGGATTGCATCCTTTACTTCCCCTGTGAGCTCGGGATACACAGGAGCTTAAACGCTGAAGGGTGGAGACAGTCAGAGTGTTTCGAGTATTGCCGGTCCCCTTCTTGAGTGTCCTGATGGTCATCCGAAAACAGCTACGAGTATCGCTAATTAAGCCGCAAATCCTGGACCGCACTGTTGATGACATAAATCCTGCATTACCTTATAAGGACCCTAAACTATGCGAATTATGGTATATTCCTTATCATGGGTAATGCAGGATTTAGATCATCAACCCTTTTATGCCTGAACCCTACACCCTAAACCCTAAAAAACAACGAAACTATAATTGGAATGAGCAACCGTAAGACTGTTCTGAGTGTCGGATTCCAAGAAGGTCTGAGCTCGGCGTTTGCCGTACGCCTCTCGCTGAGACACCGTTGACATTCTCACTTGCGAGTCTGTGGCGAAGACCAAGACCCCCGGAAGGGTCTAAAAAGTAGATCCCCTAATTTGGGACCCTGTACTACTAAGGGGTACTTTATAGGAACCCCCCCTCAAGGGATCTACTTATTGGATCCTTTTGGGGGTCTGGGGAGCTCTAGCAGCTCGCGCCTGAATGCAGGCGCCGGCGCTGACGACTTCTGCAGACTCAGACCCCAGGTTTTAAGCCTTCGGGGTGGAATTCATTTAGGGGTTCAGAGCTTCATCGGTGCAGGGTTTGAGGTTCAGGTTTTGGTTGTGGGGTTCAGAGCTAAACGCAGGTCTCTCAAGCCATGCCCCAAGAGATGCGAGATGTGCTTGGGTCGCCTGGGGGCCAAATGGCAACCTGGACCTTCCGACACTGACGCTGTGCTAGCTGGGCACAACAGCTGCGCGCAGGAAAAGGAGTCAAACCCAGGAACTCCAATGTCCCTTAATTAAGGAATATACCTTAGATCATATTACGGATCCTACTATAGTTTAAGGTATATTCCTTAATTAAGGGATATTGGAGTCTCTGGGAACTGTCCCGGCATCCTCTCGAGTTGCCCAGAGACTACAATGTTCCTTAATTAAGGAATATACCTTAAATTATAGTAGGATCCTTAATATGATTTAAGGTATATTCCTTCATTAAAGGACATTGGAGTCTCTGGGTTGTGGACCCTGCATTCAGAAGCTCTACCTTCGAAGCTAGTATAACAGGAATCCTACTTGTAAGCCCCCTAAACCGAAGAGCTTTTGTGAAGCAGGGGTCTACACTAAACCCTAAACCCTAGGCTTGTGTTAAGCCGTATACCCTAAACCCTAAACCCTAAACCGTTTTAACCCCTACACTTCTCTAAAGCCCTAAACCCTAAACTTTTCTTCCGAGATCCTAAACCCTAAACCCTAAACTTCTCTTCCGAGACTCTGAGGATTCCTTCGTGAGCTACTCTCCATTGCTGGGCAAGAACAACGTACCCCGCCGACCCATCGCCTCCATTGCCGGGCGCCTTGCAGAGGGGGGGGGCGTTTAAGGTTTAGGGTTTAGCTGTTGTGGCGGAGGGGGGGGCGCTTCCGAAGCAGAGGAACTGCGTCTCAGGACCCCTAGAGTGCTTAGCCCGAATGTTCTGAAGTCCTTGCAAGAGCTTGATAAGACTTTCTGGGAAGTGCTGCAGAACCCTTATGCAGCTTATTAGAGGCCTTATAGAACGAATGTGAGCTCCATTAGAAGCGGTCTAGAATCCTTACACAACCCGAAATCCCACATACAAGACGTAGGTTCAGGGCCGGGCTCTTGCCCACGCTTTCTTGGGTTCTGACTCCCGTGCATGCTTGCAGTTTTGGGCTTGGAATCTGGACATAAGACATTCGCATTTGATTTCGGATTTGCACTTGCATGCACACTCTTTTCATCCAATCTTCAGGTTGCACAACTTTTCTAACTCTGCTGCTCGTGCACAGTTGCTGCCATGGCCGCGAAGGCACCTCTCACCCATCCTAACAAGCCTAGCAAGCCAAAGCTCAAACTCCTGCAGGCGCGCCGACACTGTTGTGCAAGACGCAGGGACAAGCCATTCAGCAGAACCCTGCCAACATGCTACCCCTCCCTCTTCCTAAGCTGCTCCGCAG